AAGCAGATCATATTTATTTATTTTCAATTCAAAAATCTAAATAAAAGTTTTAATAATCCAAAATAAATAGAAAATTGTGACTCGCTACTGACCGAMCCATACAATGAAAACTTTGTTTCCAGAAAAAAAAATAGTCAAATARAAGTGTTTTTGTAAAATCGTATTAAAATTAAGTCATTTATGCATTAATTTGCGGGCGTAAATAAAGTCTTTTGCGCCCTAAGTCCTAAAAAAACAGCAATTGTAATATCTTTTATTGAAATATGTAGTTACAAACAATTAGCTATGTATATAAAAACTGTTTTATATCGATACCATGCTTCAAAACCATAACCGAACGAATCATAGAATAATGGGAGCATAAGGTAGATGGGCAAAATTTCTGCGACTCTTCTTTGAAATAAACAAGTAAAACGTTTTCATTAATATGGCGGTCGGCGATATTTTTCTGCGTGCACAATAGCAAAAATTCATTGAAAATTTTTCATAGATTTTTCTTGACTTTCGTGGGAATAACGTTACAGCTTTCGCTTCTTCGGCTAAAATAGCTATTTCTTCTTGTTTTTCGTTTTCGGACATATTTTTATCACAAATTCAACTTCTTGAAAAACCACGTCAATAATCTTGTCAGTATTTTGTTTTTATTTATTTGCATCACATTAGCAACCAACAAAAACTCGATTTTTGAGAACGAATCCTGCCATTTATTTTCAAAGCTTAAAGGTGGATTTTACAAAAAATCTTATTTGCATTTCGGGCGTGAACGGCAATTTTGGCCCTTTGGCGTCTTATAAACCCTCGGCCCTTCGGGCCTCAAGCTTATAATTCCGCCGCGGGCCAAAATCGCCTCTTTCACGCGCTTAATACAAAAATAGCTATTTTAAGTAGGGTTGCTAAATATTCATCACAAGTAAAAAATAGTCACACAAACACATTAGCTTTTTTATAAAATAAAATAACACGATATAAAACGAAAGAAACATCTTCTATTAACTTTATTAAATGTATGTTTTTTACAATATCACAAATGATATTTTTGTATTTTATTTAAAAAATTGTCATTTAATCACCTGAGTAGTGACTTGACTTCAGGCGGTTTTGAGTTTGACTGGTCGATATTTAATTTCTATAAGGAATCTTTTTAAAAAATAGTAACAGATAATGGAAATAACTTTTCAGTTAAGTGTTGAAGTCTTAATCCAATAAACGTCTGAGGAAAATATAAACCTATTTAGAAAATTCTCTCCAGCGTAATTGAGACAAGTTATGAAAAGAATTTTCTTTGTGTTGGATTGTGACGAATCGATAAACACTCAGACAACATTTGGAATCAACCATCAATAATACGCACACGCTTGATTTCCGACTTCAACAATCTTACGCGACGTCTCTTTTTGCCGTAATTGTTATGATAAATGTAGCATGAATGGGACTGAAGCAAAAAGAATGCAATAACGGCGGAAAGTCATAATTTCATTACTTTCAACTTTGAGTGATTTAGTATTTATATTAATTTTTTGAGTCTGATTAAAGGACGGTCAAATTATGTTAATCCGTTCTTATATGCTCAAATAACTGAGTTGTAATCAAATCGAAAAGACTGAAGAATATACAAAAAATAAAAATGCAACGATCTAACTCTTGCAAATATGTATTAGTTTCAATAAGCTGTAAAAGATATTAGAAGTTGGAACCGAGTATTACAGCGTTCATTGGACCATTACGATCTAATCCAAAGACCAGAACTACCAATCGGGGTTTAGCAAAATTACTCAAATCTCTTTTAAAGCTTAAATTTGTTTACTTGACTGAAGTTTTTGATTTTTTATAAGAAACAGTTAAAGTTTCCTTTGTTCTCGCTCTTTATATTCTTCTATTGACTCGATCAGATAACGGTACAATAATGGTATGACCCAAAGCCGGCAATTCGATCACTTCAAAAGCTTTCTCAACTGGAGCTTTAATTATTGAAAAAACCCCACAAAGCTTAAATACTTAATCCAGTTAAAAGTGTTGAACTTGTTCAAAATTAATAGCAGAAAAAGAAAAGTTATCGTGTTTTAATATTTTATCACCGATAAGTATATTTTGTATCAAAGTTTTTCCCAGTCATAACAAGAAATGTTGGCAGAAATTTGAAAAACTTCGAGTCTTCGACGCACCTTCCCTGGAGTATAAAAGAGGCCATATAATAATCTTCTGGTACGTTTCTCTGCTTTGCTCAATAAATTGATATCTTGTCAAAGTCCTCAAGGGAATCAAGTGTAAAATTATAATTCTTATCACAGTTGTAGGTCTTGCAGAAAGTAAGTTCTTGGGGACAAACCATCGATCTTCTGATTTGATTACATGCAAATGTATTCGCAGGTTACTTTTTATGTTGACAGCAATTCGTGTCTTGCTTTGAGATCAAAGAGCTTTAAACGTATACAATAACATAGAATTGAGCGATACCTTAAGCAATAACAAAACAAAAGGAAATACGGAAAGGTATAGATAACCTGAAACACCTTGGTCAAAACTACAACCGCATTGTGGGAAAAGTATATATCTTCTAGTAATCCCATTCGCTTGTCTACTTAAGGGGAATTTATTTTGCAACGTAATCCTGTTGCCTGTCACTCAAATAATCGCGACTGAGCCGCAATAACTTTGATTTCATTTGACTGACCTGTTTATCGGATCCATCCTTAGTTTTTGAGGCGCTTCCGGTTGTTATAAGCCGCTCGCAGTAGCATCCTTCCAAAAGCAAGACGCCACTAGGTCGGTGACAGTTTTCCGAATCGTAGTAAAACAGCAAATTCTGGAAGAAAAAACCATTTGGTAAAAAGACGGGTTTGAAATAAATGAGTTTTCTCAAATCTAATAAAGCTGCTTTGAAGCGTTTCACTGATCACAGACGGAGCCAATTCTAAATACTAAATAAAATCTTTGATTTATCAATATAGAAAGCCACTGATGGGACCCTTGCATTTTTTCATGCGGAAAATAATTTAGTAACTATTTGACTCTGAACCAGCTTTGCTAGAAAATCATATTTCCAGCTCTGTTGTCTTTCTTGATGCAGAGAAAGTGTCGATTTCTTGCCAACCAATTTTCTGCACCAATAAGTTTCCAATTAATCATAGACGATTGAATACACTTTAATAAGTTTATATAATCTTATTACATGATCCCAGGTTGCTAATAATTACCGATAGTTCAAACACTTCTCTACATCTAATTATTAGTTTTGTTTAGAGTAATTCACTAGAAGAGCTTTAAATCTTATCATCGAAATCATCATCTTATCATCGAAATGTGGTTACAGAACCCCAAATTATAGCTTGAAATTTTGCTCAAAGCAAATATAATTTGGAATAAATACTTTTCTATATTTAGAAATCACGGAGAAAAATAAAAAATATATAAAATCCTATATTGATGTTTCGTGTATTTTTGTGAGAAAAAAGAAAATCGGATCATATTTTCTCATCTTGAGACATCATAATAAGCTAGAAATATGTTACGAGGGCAAGGACATTAACGGTACTCCGTTTGAGATATTAAAGATTTTCCGATTTTTCTCCGAAATTGTTTTTGTCTTGTATATAACAAAAATGTTCTTGTCCAAACAAAAGAAATATTTAATCATATTTTTCATTCTTCTATTTGGAGAAAAGTAATAAAAATAAAAGTAAGCGCAGCATTCTCCAGAAAATTGGACGATAATTTTTGCCTTAAATAACAAAAGTTGTTTATTTCTTACATAAAAATAATTATTTAAAATTAATGAAAAGCTATCAAGTTGGGTTTATTAAGAATTTCATTTCTCTGCGAGAGATTTTTATTAACAATGAAGGAAAAAGAAAAGCAGAGAGGACCGTCGCCGAGAAAATTTTTATTTAGCAAGTTTGGCAATCTAGCGCTTGAAGAATAAATCGAACTGTTGCTGTCTCTTCGATTTATTGCATATCAAAGATGCTGAAGTTTCTCGAATAAAATTACATTTTTCGTTTACATAAAATGAGTTTTTATTATGTAAAAGTTGCAAATCTAAATCCTGCTATAAATAAAGTACAAATTGATTTTATTTTCTTGAGATAAAAGACGGGTGTTAATCTGTTATACCTGAACAGAAATACAACCCTGGCTTACCTGGTAAAGCACGAACCACCTCAGTTGCCATTTACTACTGTCCGCTGATCTCTTATGCAAATAACCGGCTTGAGAGTGGTCATAGTGGGCCCTTTCTGATAACATTATCAGCTGATTCTCGTTCACGCGGATAGTTCTTTGCATCTTCGGACTCAGCATCATTCACGTTTCCTTATTCCTGCAAAAGAAGGAAAAAAAATTTTCCTACCATATAAAATTTGGTAATTATTAGTGAAAAAGCGTTTCCTTTATTAATTATGAAAAGTTGGAAGAAAAGTCGCCTCAAATTAAAATGATGGCAATTAGCAAATAAGTTAGGAAGAGTAATAAATATAAATCGTTCCTTAATTCCGAATTTTACACAAGTCGAATTGAATTCAAATTTGAAATCGATAGTCGAATGCAAATTCGCTTTATTTCTACTCTAGAAGCTGGTCTTGAGCGAGTTGACTAAGTTCCACCACTAATTTCCTTTTTATATTTTTTTAAATTTTAAATGAGGATTTTTAAAAATCAAAAAAACAGTAAATGATGAATGAAACAATCATTTAAACTCAAAATGGAGCAATTCCACATCAATCTTGACCGTATGCAAGCTTAAAAACCATCATTTGCTTACATGTTTATTTGACGAACATTTTCTCTCAAAGATGGGTAACATCAACACGATACACGGATGGAGACTGTGGAAAACTGAATAATTTTCAAGATTCAATCGGGAAAACAACTTCTTCATTGCGCAAGCGTACTTGTTGCACGTACAACTCATGAAAATAAGATCGATATACACTGAGGTCCACCTTAAAACATCCCCAATTACAGCAACAAGTAGCTATGTTACATGATTTTAAAATTAAAAGTCATTTCAGGTTTTCAGCCATGTCTGAAATAGTTTAATTTGTTTCCCACTCTTTGAGAAAATTCAAAAACGGCCTCCCGCCAGTTCACTTTATCGCACTTAATAGCGATAGCTGCAATTAAATTCCTCGTTCACATACCAGCAGGTAGTCGAGCTAGAAAAATAAACTCACACACAGTGATCGCGCTATTTGACCCACAATTTTTCAATATTTTTCAGATTTTGTTATTTGTTTTGTCCTTATTATTTCAGCATAAAATAAAATTTATCTTAAATATACAACGCAAATATTAATATGTACTTATGTTTGGATGAACGAGTTAAAACGGCGTTATTAATTTACTAAAAAATAATTTAATAAGAAACATGTGCTATTCTTTTACTTAAACTTGCCTATATTTTTCTTCATTTCCTTTTGTAAGCTAAATTGTAGAAGAAAATTTCATTTGTGAAATGATTTCAATTTTCTCTATTCACGTCCAGATAAAAAGATAGCAGGAACACGGTTTCTCTTACACTCTTTTGTCCTTAAATTAATTTCAGTAAAAACAAGTTTTAAACTTATTTTACAAAGTAAATTTGTTCACTGCCTCACACGGTGACCGTCTTGACAAAACGAAAAATGTTCCTAAAGCACACCCTGTTTCGATATTTAAAATAAATAATTTAATAGTTGTTACAATTGTTCTAATTAGAATATATTGTTACAGATTTTAAATAGAATTCAATATTGATTTATTTTTGTTATGAAATTATTATTCATAACTATTTTTTCAAATTACGAACTGAAAAAAATGTGTTCACGTGGTTTCGAAGCCTGTTCCTAATTGGTTGTCAAAAGCGGGAGTTGCGGTCGCTCTTTAAACGTATTGCTTCTTTAGTTTTCAGAGTAGAATAAATTTTTACTTCAGTTTTAATTTAAAACAAACGAGCGGGAAGGACAGGGGAAGAAAAAAATGAAATAAATATAAATGATTTACTTATAAATCAATAATAATACATTTTTGTATACAAAAAAATTGCAGCTTTTTATTTGTGTTTTTCTTCTTTCTTGGCAGCATCCCTTCCACGGTTTTTCTTACGATAGCGCACACAGGGGAGGTACACACACTGCGTCTTCTCTGCTTGTTGATTCTCAATAGCAGCTTGAATTTGGACAAACGTATCCAATAAAATCATAAAATCTGCACTTCTATTGGCAACTTCTTCATAAAAGAACTTCTCGATGTTGTATCTTTTGACAGCAGCAACAATGCAAGAGTATCTCAGATCATTGTGATTTTTACAAACTTCGTATATTTCCATGTCTTCAAGAGCGTAAGTGAGGAGCTCATCTGGAGTCATCTGACTAAGAAAAAAACGAAAATAAAAGTTTGTTTCATAAGTTGTTTTATAAATTTTTACTTACCTTAAAAGCGTCGAAAGACAAGTGTATTCGCGTTCCAATTCGACGTCGACGTCTTTGAAATACTTGGCCCAGATAACACCCATTTTTTTTTCACTTGTAGGTAGGTTTACACAAGGCACTAGAGCAAGCAAATGGAAAAAATGCGATCGCGATTCTTTATATACCTTTAATTGTCTAGAGTGTGATAAAGAAGTGTTGAATAACTTGATTCCTCGTAATCGTTACAGGTGGAAGTGGCATTTTAAGAATACAATCAAAAATTCTTTTGCCATTATTTTATTTATTTAATAGACCATAATAGGTCTGATTGTAAAAACATGAAAAAACAAATGCTGTTTTTATTTTATTATTTGCACTATTATAATCATTTTTGAATAGAGTGTTTACTTAAATATCTCAAAATACTGTATTTTAACGCAAATACCCACTTTAAGTATTTCAACTATTTGTAGAAAAACTATATTCGTAAAAATGTATGTCGTCATTTGAAAAAGTCACTATTCTTCGACGCCACACTGATGACTCACCTTGTCTAAATTCCAGAAATATTTTTAACTTAGAATCAATCAACTTAGAATCAATGTAAATGCATTAGGGGTGCGGGGTGATTTACTAAAATGCTCAATAAACTCAATTATATTTATTTAAAAATGAACACATTGTATATTTTGCAAAAAATACATTTCAATTTTAAAAATTAAGAACTCGTGGCCCTTTCTGCATTTCTTTCCCCTTCATGTATATTACGACGGCGGAGACCGGGGTTTTGCTCAGAGCGGGTTTCCTCCAAATGTCTCTGCTGTTCAGCGGTATCTTGAGTTTTGATAAAATCATCCAGCAGAAGCACGTAATCGACAGTTCTGTTGTAAACATCTTCGTAGAGAAATTTTTCCTTGTGGTATCTTCTAACAGCAGCACGAATGCAAGCTTGTCTCAGTTCTTCGTCCTTTTTACAAGCTTCGTAGATCCTGGAGTCTTTAACAGCGACATTGAGGAGCTCAACTGGACCTAACTCACTGAAAAAAGAAAAAAGAAAAATTTATTAAAAAAATTTGAATTAAAAAAATTTATCCAAATTTATTTACTTACTCTAAAAGCACTAAGAGACGAATGCGGACGATTTTCGCCTCCCTCTTATCATCTTCGAAACGTTTAGAACAGAAGGAACCCATTTTGCTTGCTTAGATGTGCACAAATCACATGCGAATGAAAAAATGAAACTTTAATTGATAAAGAAGTAATGAAGAATATTTAATCTAAACAAAATGGCAACGATTATGTATTCCAAGAAGACTGGTATTAAGCAGATGGTTTATAATCGAAAAATACCACACTCAAGGACTCGAGTTTATATGGCCACAAATTTTCATATTTTTTATTTTAAACTATAATTTATAAAATGTACCGTTGACTACACCCTGGATGATTTCCGTGAATATAAAAATTCCTATATTATGTATTCCAAGGTCAGCCCGTAAAACCGCTTCGTGGTTTCAGACGTTTTTACATCAAATGTCATTTCCAGGGCGCTCCAGGTGATTTTCGGTTACCCTTATCTTAAGATCAACGCTCGGAAATGCTCAAAATTGCTCATTATCTCCAAAAATTACTGCTCATAATTTTATATCTAAAATTGATAAACCATTTTTGATTTCTCTTTTAATTCGCATTCGGCGTAAGAACAGTAAGAACGTTTCTGTGCATTTTTCCATGTCTTGAGGGAAATGAATATACAGTTAAACCTCGCGTTTACAATAATCCGAGTCACCATTTAATGGGGTTTTCTGTATCAGCTTATAAAATATTCATCGCATATAAAGTCGCATAATTTTGAAAAGAAGAGAAAAGCGAGTTGAACAGAGCTTAAATAATGACTTTTGTGTTATGGAAATTGAATTAGTTTCCTAATATAAATAGGAAAATAATAAAATAATAAAACTTTTTAGTCAGAAATCATTGTTTTGCAGAGCGCCCACCAGAGTAGCGCTATAATCCTGTGTGTTCAAAGCTAAGCAGCAAAGCAAACACCATATTTTTACACTTCATTTTTTTATTTTTTATAATATGTGACTTTCAGCCTTAGCTACATTGTACACAATTTATAAGAATATAAAAATTATAATCTTTTATCGTACTACTCTTAATCCTTCCTTCCTACATTCATTCGCTACAAGTAAAAATTTCCAATCTTTAACACAATTTATCGCTTTTATTTCTCATTCTATTCTTCAACGCTCAAACTCACAGTTTTTTGTGACTTTTTGACTTTATTTGGTACACACAAATTTCTGAAAAATGCAATATCAAAATTTGAAAAATATCAAAAGCTACTAATAAAATAACGAATCAGGAAATTATTTTTACATGTACTGAATTTCAAAAAGTTTTGGCGTTTTTTGAGTTGATTTATGGTTTTTATTTATTGCGTTGGTGTGTCTTAGTACTCTCAGTAGTGGTAACGCAGCGCTATTCTGGTGGACGCTCAGCAAAACAAGGATTACCAATTCTACAAATATGTATTAAAATATAAATATAAATAAATCTACAAACAAATAATAGAAACTACAATAGGTTATAGATATTATTTTCTTAATTATATATTGAAAAAAAAACACAACGATACATACCTACGCAGTGGTGCAGCAAGGGGGGAGTTTTGTGGGTTAAACACCCCTTTCCCCTCCCCCAAACAAAATTATTTTGTAGTGGTAATAAAACTAAAATTATATTGTAGAAACAACCAAATTAAACATTCAAATTTTGTATACAATTATTATTTTCAATGTTGTCATAACTTCAGAAGATTCACAAATTTTTACAATTTTGTAAAATGCAGCAAAACTGTAACTGTAAGTAAATGTTATGTTTTTATAGACGCATATGTAACATGTTCCAAGAAATCGATTGGCGTTGAGAAAACTGCAAAATTCTTGATCATTTAGAAGTTATTGTTGAATTAATATTTTGGATATATTTTACTTTATCAGCAATTTTCTCGATAAATATTTAACGTAGGACAATTATCTTTTTTGTTATATAATAAAAAAATAAATTTGCTTGACTAGCGTCAATAATTCCAAAGTTTTTAGCAATAAACCGCCCTGAATACCGAGAACCATCTCAAATTTCGATAAAAATCGGAAAAATTATAAACTTTAAAATTGAACCATTTGCACTCTTGAGGGTTCAAGAAACTTAGAGAAGTCCAAAAACGTTATAAACACGCAAGAAATTTTGTGTAAGTTTATATGAATATATTAAATTAAAACATTGGGACTGTGGGCGGCATGGTGGTGTAGCGATATAAGGTCCCGCTTTCCGGCAGGTAGGTCCGGAGTTAGAACCCCGTTTAAGTTAGCAAATTTCCACTAATTCAAATTCAAATTAGCAATAAAAGTTGGCGGGCGTATAAAAGCGCGAACTTTAAAACATGTGCACATGTTCTAATAAGTATAATAAGAGAGAGCGCATGAGAGCAAATAAGAACGCAAAGGATAATAAGAAAGAGAAAGAGCATAAGAATAAATAAGTGAACAAAGCATAAGTAATGGAAAGTGCATAAAAAGCATAAGAGTTTTTTTTATTTCGGTGTCACAATGGGCATTTTATCCGACAGTACCTTTGTATTTAATACAAATTATAATAAAACTCGTATTGAAAAATCCTTGTTTTGTCGAGCGCCCACCAGAATAGCGCTGTGGTACTCGTAGCATAATCGCTTTCAGCGATGGCTGTAAACACAATTGTTACAAACATAAAAAAAATCATTTTTAATTTTTTTACAATATTCATCATGTAAAAAAATGGTAAAAGCAGTAAATAAAAAAGCATGAAGCTCTTTCCATTTCGGTGTCACAATAGGCTTTTTTCCGACTGTACTTTTGTACTATAATAAAACTTGTATTGAGAAATCC